AGCGCAATTTGTTGGGCGTTATGGCTAACTCGAAATAATATAGTGTTTGACAAGGTCCTAGCACCATCTTATTTGCAGGCTATCTTCAGAGAGGCCTGCTGGATCAGGTCCAGGTCCCTATTGTAGAAAGAGGAGGATCGCCAGATGATGAAGATGGGATGCAGGGGTATTGAGACAACCGCGATGGAAGTGTTTGCAAAACATGGTTGGAGATTCAGCAATAGAATTAGCTTATAGATGTGGTTTTTACAAATGATATTTTTATTCTCTTTAGCTCAAAACTTTGTTTTTGAGATTCCTTGGATCATAGTGCTCTTGTTTGTAATAAGGAACACCTATATGCATTGGTCGATGCAGAAATTGGGATATTAATATATTTCCTTTTCTAAAAAACATACTCAAAGACCTTCAAGATAAATTTGAAAAGCTACTGATTAGCTTAAAGCCTAAGGAGGGAAGGAGAAAAGTCAAATGTTGATGCTGGTGCACAGTGAGTTTAAGGGTGAAGCTGAATTGGCGAGATGCAGACTCGAGATTTTGGAGGACATGACGAAAAAAGCTTTGGACAATCTCCTCTTTCTGTTGTTGGGCCGTAATGCTCGCCTTATAATCTTTGGGAGGTCATATGGATTCTACAACACCATAGGCCTTCGGACCACAAGTGTGTCATGCCAAGTGGTAATGGTGTATCTTCCTGTGGAATCAAATCAATCTGCAAGGTCTAGTGGGCTAGGGTGGTAGGTTCACAACAAGTGACATTTTTAAGAATCGAAGGTTGGTGATGTCTGTGTTTGGGAGTCTTCACATTGAAACTATGCTCAAGCAAGCCATTCAACACACGAAAGCAGGTTCTAATAACATACATGATGACACTGGATGATTTGATTATCTATGAGGTTCTGGCCATTGCGTCAATCAAAGAGCATCAAAAGTGTATCTCCCATCTAACGCAAAAGATATCACTTATTGGGTTACCCTATTTACCTTCATAGGGATGATGATGAAGATGACGAGGAGGTTGAAGCTAATAATGATGAGTACAAAGTCAGCGATGGTGAGAAAGAGGAGGAAGAATACGGTCACTACAGCAGTCATGAGAAAGTTCGTGTCGAAGCATCCATAACTAACAATTTCTCAAGCAGGGACTCCGACTCTGAGCTTGACTCTGACCCTGAGCTTGAAGATAAAGCTGAACCTAAACCTAAGGAGGGTGCTCACGATGATGAAGCTGGACCTAAACCCAAGGAGGGTGCTCAAGATGGATATGGATTTATGATATTTCATTGGAACATTGGTACTCCTCTCACTAAGCTGCTTTTATTTCCACTCCACAACTTTTTATCTCACACCCAAAGGGAAACTGCAACTACATGTATGAGGGAGAGGTGAAGCTCCAAGTGTAAGATACGTCTAGTGTGTGCTGTGTGTGAAATGAGAGGGGGTGCCTCTCTATTTATAGGAGGGAGGTGGTGGAGTTATTCTAAGGAATATTCCCCTCTCTTTAATATGCTCTTATCCTCTCTAGCTCTAACTGCCTTCCAAATGATGTCTTCTCTAAGCTTCATAGGTTGGGCTGACTTTTGTGGGCTATGGAGAGTGCGCCTACCAAAGTTGGGCCTAATTGGGATTTGTGAGGGTTCGGGCGAATGTGGCCCAATAAGGGATTCAATCGAACCTTGGAGGTGGCCTTTTCAATGTCTTCACATAGGATCATCATCTAGATGCAGTGAAGATCACTCCTGCCAAACTTGGGCTTGATTGGACTTAGTGGAGGTTCTGCCGAACCATCATTGTAGCATGGATGTGTCTGCAGACAAAAGAGTTAGGGTGTTTTTCTTTGGGTTATGCTTATTGGATCTTGATGTGTGCCTGTGTGGCGACCTTTGATTGTTCTAAGTTGTGTTTCCTCGCCTTTTGCACATGTGTTTCTTTGTAATTACCTATAAAGCTCCTACATACAAATGAACACTAACACTTGTGGAATTTTTAGGATTTGAGCCTTACCACTATGTTGGATGTTGGTTTTAAGTTGCTTTGATGAAGAATTGATGGTTAAAAGTGGTAGTTAAGGACCGTCAACATTTGTGCTACATGACAGTAGACCCACCTAGATGCCCTCACTATGGGGTGATACCTCCTATAGCTCACATGTCGACCCTGTTCTGCCCGGTGTTTGGCGATGGTTCCTACTCCAGTTGACCTCAATCTAGTTGGGCGGATGCTTAACAAGGAGATGAGGAGGACGTTACTTCCACGTGTTGGTTTCATTGAGGCGTTCACTAACATACAACAGTGGCTACTAGGTTCTCATATCTCGCACACAGTGTTTGACGTGGTTGACTTCTTACTGTGTGTGAGATTGAGGACACTATCTTAGATGGATTTAGGGCTAGACACTAGTTGTCGTATGCTCACTACTTGTCCTATGTCTTCTCTAAGATGATTAACCATCCATAGGGGTACTCACCATGGACACGCCGCCCAAGGGAATCAGAGTCTACTGGTGAACACTCTCACGTGACAATTGTTGAGGAAGTAGAGCTCTCCAAGACTTGAGGCGTGGTATCTCAGAGGAGTTAGTAGAACAGGAGGCCTAGGACGAGGATATTTGACAGGCATAGTAGGCAGAGCTAGCTTAGTGGTGACTAAGGAGTTCGACAGCTCAGATAGCTCGAACAAAGACTATATTGTTCCTCCACCTCCACCACCGATGTCTTCACCTGCACATGACTCTGAGGCGGGGGGAGGGGCCCAACTTCAGTTCCTCCATGATTAGCATCCTCCGGTGATGACAGGTTTCTCGCTTTGCTAGAGAGGATGCATGCCGACCTTCAGTGTCAGGTCGAGGAGCTTAGGGTTGAGCAAAGGCGTTAGGACAGAGCCCATGAGGAGCACTAGGCATAGGTGCTCTCGATGTTCGCGTGGTTGCAAGCTTGCCAGGACCGGTTTTAGCTCTAGATGGCTCAGGAGTGGCAAAATAGCATGGCACTAATGCAACACCTTCTCTAACACACAAGTGTGTCACCGTTCTTGCCACTAGTTCATATGGTCCTTCGAGGTCCACTTCACACTCCAGTGACCCTAGCTATACAGTCCAACGGACTTCCAAGTCAGAGTCTTTACCAGCAATACGTGTCACCGATTCACCCAATGACGCTCATTTTCGCTCCTCTAGAATCGAGGTGTCGCAAGGTTTTGCTGGCCTATCTCAGGTAGCTCCACTTCCTTCAACACCTCAGACAATGTTAGTGATCGTTGTGACGTCAGCTGCACCAACCACTCAAAGCTTGTCCGCCACTTGCAGTCAGGTTACAGGAGAGCCCTCACAGTCAACTCCTACTTTCGCTCCTGTACTTGCTCTAGTTGCCCCTAAGACCGGTACCACAGAGACAATACGGTCTTGGTTGCATCGTGTGACCCCAACAACAACAGATATCGTAGAGTCAGCCTCCTCCACTCTCTACAGTTGCAGAGGCTACAGCTCCAGCTCCAGCTCCACAGGTCATAGCTACAGCTACTACTTCGGAGCCCGCTCATACTGACACCGCTCCTCAGACAGAGACCGCTACTTAGCCAGCTACAGCGGGACAGACAAGGTCTGAGAGCTCCTCTGAGTTAGACGTGGACGCACTTGTAGCTCACTTTGAGGTCTCGTCATGCACTTCATAGCCTGATTCGACTATGACGACCACTCCTCTAGCTGACCCTTAGGTTTTGGTCCTTGACACCAAAGAGAGAGTGGAGGGTATGTGAGATAGGGGGAGAGCTGTGTTAGGATTTTGGATCTTTTGCGTGCTACTCCATATGCATTCATATTTACTTTCATGCATTGTATGATACTATATGTGCTTGTGATGCTTCTTTTACATGTGTGCTCGTGTTATGTTATGTCATGTCACTTGTGTTGCTCGTGTTTGAGCTTCTGTTATATATTTTGTCAAACGAATTACTTTTGTGGTACATGCACTTAATTATTATCTGTTGTGTGCATGTTGTGGACTTGGCTTGCATAAATTCGTTCTAACCCTCTATTCTTATTGTCACATGTTCATGCAAAGTGTTGAAATCTCCTTTCTTCGTTATGTGCACATACTCGATGTTGTTGTCATCAATCACCAAAATGGAAGAGATTAAAAGCACCTAGACCCTTAATTCGATTTTGACGATTAATGACAACACAATCATTATGACTAACGTGTGTTTTGCAGTTGCGAATAATTCACCATGCAATGTCCTTGTTCTTTAGTTTTCCATGAGACCAAATGGACTCGAATATATGCCTGCTACTCTCAACACAAATTGAACCCTAAGAAAACGAGAGCTACAATGGTAATTGTAGGGTGAGGCCCATCCATGAATGCGAAAGCCATATTACCTGTAAGCATGGATACTGTTTATTGACGCCCAACAGCGAGGAGAGTGATGTACAATCTGAAACACAATGATAATGCATGTCCTAAATGAAAATGCTCATGATTCGGGGGGAAAAACTCAAGAATTACTGTGGGAACAGCTATTAGCCTTATTAGTTGCTTTACCGTTGTTCAGGATGCTGAGACAATTACTGGGAGCATGTACTTCGTCAGGTGCATTAGCGTTGTTCAGAATGCTGACACAAGTCATGCGTGCGTTGGGTACGACGGGCATAACGATGGAACGCTTGCAATGAACCGAGACTGACATAATGATGAACGCTTCATGTACTTTGCTGAAGAGAGCTGCACAAAATGAATTGTCCATATAACTTTGAGCCTGACATTTCGATCCATTCATGCGTCATGTACCAGAATAAATACAAATCAAGAAAACAGGATACTCGAAAACGCAGCATCACCCTAGTTGCCACTGCTTTGGCTTCACTGCGAACAGCCAAACACTTGCTTACACTGACAGGTCAGCACATCGATGAAATAACACTGTTGAGTTAGTACACATCAAAGGAGCTCGGTGACAACATCCCCTACTGACTAGTCACACTGGGATCGGGCTAGGTTTCAGATTCATAGCTGCACCACCTGACTCAACGAGGAGAATTCATCAATGATCTTTGAGGCGAAGTCCTCATCAACCTCCATCCTAGTGCACAACTTTGGGATAGAATAAGGCCGTGCTACTGCTGCAGTTGGCTCTTGATCGCCCGTCTCCGTCTCCGTCTCCATTCTGTCTGGCTTGTCCACAGATGCACCGTTCTCCTTTCCAAAAAGCTGCTCAATAAGATCACGGCAAGGCTTCAGATCGTCCTCGCTCCGTGCTCTTGTCAGCTTACCAAGCAGCTCGTTCAGTTTCGCGCTTCTCTCCATCTTCTGCTTTGTGCTAAACTTCATTGGGCTTGGATGATCATCCTGATTTGGATCAGATGGTTTGTCATCCTCATTGGCGCTTTGACTCTCAAGCAGTTTCTTCAGCTTCTGGTCCAAGATAGTGGCAACCCTCTCCTTGAAGCTATCAGCAGTTTCGTTATCCGACTTCAACCTCACCTTTGCCTCTGAAACCAACAAGTCCATCCTTTCTTCTTCCGAAGAAGTTGCTTCAGCTTCTGGCTCAACATCAGCATCTTCCATGGGACAGAATGTTTCCTCCAGTAACCCAACATTCTGTGTATACCTCTCATATGCTTCATTTTCAGCATCGATATCTCCTTGCATATGTTCCTTTAGCTTCATAAACCTCCACTTGTTTATACCCACAACATCCTAGAACCAAAAAAAAAAGTCACAAAAGAAACAAAAGGCGGTTCAAAACAAACAGAGCGCATGAAACAGCCAATAACCTTTTTGGTAAGCGACTTCTTTGTTTGGAGAGACTTCAGAAAATGCTGGGGAAGCTTTTGCAAGGCAGCCAGCCTTGATGCTGAACTGTGAAAAAACAACAATCAAGCATTAAAACAATGTAGTTGTTTGCAAGAGATTAATTGTCAACTTGTGTTTTATGAATTTTACTTGGTTGCAGGTAAATTGGTAGATGGCTGTTCTGTAGCAGGAGCAGTAGCAGGTGATGGCTTATCTGGCAATATGTTGGTCTGCTTCAGAACTATCATGATAAGTAAAGCCCAACATCAGTGGTGTTCAGAGCAGAGTAAAAAATAAACAACATTATGGCATAGCACAGAGCAGCAGACGTGATAATAAACAATGTAAAAGAAAGTTTAAAATAAGAAAAAATGGAATTGACATGCAGATTGCGATAGAAATAACATAAATAAAACATCAATGTTCATAAGAAATTATTCTAACGTAACCACTAACGCTGCTTGGCTAGACTGCAAGTTTGGAACTACAAAAACTTCCGAAACCTTTCACTTGTTCCTTCACTAGCCTCTTCCCCCATTTCTTCATAAATCATGAAGAGAATATCTCCCCCACATATTTGACATGTCCTTGAAGCAAGATAGGGTCACAACATCCTCACAGAGGATGCAAGTCGTCACCATGCAAAAATTCCTCTATGGCCTTCCATACTTGTTTAGTTTTTTTTACACATTTCATTTCTGTTGGATGAGTGGTGCTTGCAGTTTGTGAAGATTTATTCCAAACCAGTCACAGAAAAGAACGGTCATAGGCATCGACCCAAGACCCGGGAACGTCGTCCCCGACCTGGGTACGCGGGGTTATTTTCAACTCTGCCGTGTATAAACCTCTCACAAGTCGCATGCAGCGAACCACGTTCCTCGACCCCTATTGACCCAGAAACTTTGTGACAACATCCCAAACATTGTTCCAGGCATTAATTCTGGATGGTAGTTTCTGACTGCTAATAACCAATTCTTTTGTCTAAGAACATGCCATAAATATTTGAAAAACAAACAAATAGTAAATCATTGCTAGGATGGATTGGTTAAATCTGCTAGCTTGCACCACTAAGTAAGCTCATTTTGGCTACGAACCAAATGTACCCCTAAATATAAAAAGTTCTGGAACAACTGCTGAATGAGGGTAAAGAAAAGACGAAGTTGCCTCGATAGCATTCTCCACAATCTGTTTTGCTAATACTGATCCCAAAACTCAGTTATCAGTTTTATATTCTAGCGCTCCATCAAACCTGCTGTCTCTGTCTCCTAACTACCCCCCAGTGGCAGTAAGGGATCCGTGGTTTGGCAGTTGGTCAAGTGCGATCGATGCTCATGGACATCAAGCACCATGGCGATGTCCACTAGAGAGTGCCCTTCACTGAGGACAGTGGTGCAGTGGTTGCAGGGGTGGAAGATGGAAAGTAAAGGCAGAAAGTGACGGGATTGGGAGTGGCCATGGAGACAGAATGTAACTGTGACAGTCCTGCATTGCAACCTGTGCCACTAGTTTCCAATCGTACCGCACAGCACTAGGATGGGGAAAAATGGAGTAGGGACTAGGAAGTGATAAGATAGGACACTGAGTTTGGAGAGTAGCATACTAGCATGTCAGCAAAACGACTCATCGAGAGGGCTTAGAGGCAATTTTGCCTAACCAAAAATATAAGGGATGCCTGGTAAACTGGCCAGACCAGATATGTAATTGTGCAGATATTTAGATAGAATATCACCATTCACCGAACTGCTTGTGGGTCACTAACTTCAAGTTTAGATTATCATTTTCTTATAACAGTGCAGATTATCACGTAAAAGGAGTATATCACACATACCATGGATGTGGCAAGGATTCTGGGCCTTATAGCAGCAGCTCTTGCAACACTGGAACGGGCACCTGAAAGACCAAGCAGAGCGCACACATATAATTCATTAACAAATCAAAAATTACTGCAGTCTCTATCACATAACCAAAGCCTGTAAACTGCCTCTGCAGACCATACCACAAGTAGGAGGAAATAATTCTGCCTAATAAGGAAGTATCGATAAACTCTGTCTTCTTACCGGGAGCGGGCGACGTTACCACACTGGATGCACTTGGGCTTGTTAAGACCCCGAAGGTTTGGCTTGGGCATGTCGAAGGTGGCAGCTGGGATAGGAGGCGGCTTCTGCGGCGTCCCATTGCTGTTGGCCACCGCCGGCGCCGGCGCGGGCGCAGGAGCAGGAGTAGCAGCAGGGGAAGGCGAGTCACCAGCCGCCGCCTTGGCGACGGCGGCAGCGGCAGCGGCAGGCTTCACGTCCGGCATGGTTCTCCTCAACCCAGCGAAACTTGTGGGGAAAAAAAGTAAAGTCAGCAAAACTTGTGGGGGAAAAAGTATAGTGCACTTGAGAGAGTGGGATTTGAATTCGATGGTGGATAAAAGGAAATCCAAGGGGGAAAAGAGCATGCATCCAAGCAGTGGCAGACCCAGGATTTCAACCTAGGGTATGGGTAGATAAAAATCATAATATAGAATACGATGTAACCCAACCATAAATCCTACAAATGGTTCGATATAATACCTTAGATTAAACGATCAACAAATAAGGCTACGTTCGGCTGGTTGGTTTTTCAGCCGGAGTTCAGTACAACTTTAATTAGCTAGTCACTACTCACTAGGGAAGGCCAGAATCCAGTATTTCCCGAAGGAACGGGAACAGAAAATTTTCATATCATTCAGAAACAGACGTTTCAGTGCTTGACACACAAATCTGCAGTAATATTCCAGTGATCATACGATGCTGCCGCGTCAGACTAACAATGTAATTTTGAGAGCTATCTACATTCGAAGTCTCTAACCTTAAGAAGGAAGTGGGCACTCACCAGGAACCGAGTTGGCAAGGGGTCAGCTGCCGGCCTGTCGGGCTCCGCTGGAGCCTGGAGGCGCGTCCCGCGCTGGGGTCGGCCTACCCTGCGGGGCGCTGGGAGAGGTGAGGTTCCGCTGGACGCAGCCCGCACAGGGCAGGGAAGACGCAGCCCGCAGGGCGTCGGGCAGTCCGAGAGATACAGATCGGGCGTCGGCCGGGCCGCCTACCAGCGGTGCGTCGTCTTCGCGCCGAGGCAGCTGGCGGCGGCACGCCGTCGTACCTCGCTCGGGGAGAGGGAGAACGGGCGAAGAGGAGTGAGGCGGGGTCGACGCTGACGGCTTGAGAGCTGAAAGTTACTAGGGCTGGCTATTGGGCCTTCAAGTAGTAGAATATATTTTAGGCCAAAATCGACGCCAGGCAGGCCCCAGGTGAGGTTCGGGGAAGAGAGCAGCGCCTCTCGTGAAGGAAATTGGGTGGGAGGAGGCCTCGCCGGCGACGAGCAAGCACACGAGGTGGCAGCGGCGGTCGGGACGCAGCACCGGAGGGCGGAACCGCGGAGGCAGCACCGGAGTCCACAGGCCGGCGTGGGGGCGGCGCTGGTGGAGCGGAGCGAAGGCGTGGCCTGCAGCTGCGAGCGGCAGCGGCGGCGCGACCTAGAAGGCAAGAGGGCAGCGGCGCGACTCAGAAACGCGAGACTCGCGAGCCACGAAGAGAGCAGAGCGTCGAGCGAGACCCCAGTCGGTGCTTTGCTGGCTGTTGGGCCAAATTCACAGGGGTATTCCTGGGCTCTACTTGGGTCACGACTAGGGACATGGCCCTAGTGGCCCTAGGCCTGGGCCCCACGTGGTAGGGATGGCGTCGAACAAGGAGAGGACGAAACAGAAGACAAAAAGCCCGAAACCCTACTCTGGGCTCGGGCTGGGCCTCGGGTGGTTGGACCGGTTCTCCCGGTTTCGGCCGTGCCACGTGACGCATGATTCTGCTCAAAAAAAAAAACGTGACGCATGATCTTTTTAATGTAGCAAAAATATATGGGTACATCAGCTTAAAAAATACTAAAATATTTATAGATTCGAACAGTGACTAATTATCTCAGTAGAGCTTGTATTTTTTTTGTCCTCATCACACAAGTTGTAAATAGTTTCTGCTTTCAGTAAAAGCCATAAAAACTATCTTAAACTAGTATCTAGGTAAAAGAGTTGAAAATTTTCATATTATGCATAAAAATAATTTATAAAGACAACTTATGTATCATGATCATGGTCTGTATTAATTATTTATTTCTGATCATGGTATATAGGTGATATGTGTCCATATCTTATACCAAGAAAGTCATATAGATTATAGCTAACTCCCACTGTTTTTGGGTGTGGCAGTGCCGCGCCTGCTTGCAGCAGTGCCGCACTTTGAATCTCAATTAAGATTCGGCCCAAACGGAGTAACTTCTTTCTCTCTCTTCCCCCCGACGCCGATGCCCGTGCCTCTCTCCTCTCGCGCCCACGCCGTCGCTTGGCCACACATTGCCGATCTCTGACAGTGCCGCGGCAGCTGCCAGCACTCCCTCAACGTCGCTGACGGCTGCTACTGCCCCTGGTCCGAGTAGTTTCTTCCCTCTCCTCTCCCATCCTCGTTTGAGAAGATGTAGCACGGAGATAATGACCAAAGGAGGGAAAGGAAGATGAATAAGCAAAGAGACAATGGTCGAGGGAGGTCAACAGCAGCAGGCAGTAGTGCAGCTCCAAGGGGACTCGGTGATAGAGGGAGGCGCGAGCAATACATTGAAGATGAGGAGATGAGGGAGATGACAAGTTGTACCACTGACGCCATTCCTAACACCCTACAACATCTCTCTGAGTTGGATGGCAGATACATGAGAGATTTTGAGGGTGAGATCATCATAAGACCTCCAGATGACTTCCGCCAGCATGTAGTTGTCAACTATTCTAAGAGTTGGAAGCTGGTGGAAGAGGCAAGGGGGATCAATCCCTATACAGTACGTAAGGATTTGGGCATTGATTACAGATTTTGGAATGAGTTTTATTCCAACTTTTATGCCACTGTCATTCTTGCATCCAAGAAAACTAAGATCATCAAGATGTAGTATATTGATTGGGATGAGATGCAGGAGAAGAAAGAGCCTGAGTTTGATGCCAATCTATTCTAGGAAGAAGCAATCTGCAGCAAGGAAGCATTATTAAACATGTACATCATCAGTTAGGTTGTCCTGTGTAGAGGTGCGGTGAACTGGCATTTCATCATAGTATAGTGGTTGTCTCTCTAACGTAAGTGCTCTTCCTAGATGGTATGTAGTATGTCCAGATTAATTAGAGGCAAAACATGTACTCTCAACTCTGTTAATCAAACCAAAGTCCACGGTTACAAAAGCAAAGGAGAAAATTGTGGACTAACATAATTTGACTAATCACAGCGCTAGTTGAGAGCCCAGCTGATCAGACCAGCCTACTATATTCCTGGATGTTTCATCCCTATAGAGTTTGAACTACCTTCATGTGCGAGAAAAGGTTTCATGCTACGTTGTAAAAACAACAGTTAACTGAGGATAATAGAAGGGACTATATTTATTTATAAAGGGCTCGCTGCAGTCACACATGGATTAGCAAGCAAAAACACAACAGGGCTGTAAATCCAAAACAACAACATTTATCTTCAGAGTTTCAGGGAACATGTATCAAAATTCTTCCTCACAATAATGGTATAGTTTCTTTACAAAGACTATGGCACTGACGGTGACATAAATAACTAATCAGATCATGTGTGCTATCTGAAGTATTAACATGTAGGATCAGAAAGTAAGAAACCACTTACCAAAGTCGTGTTGCTAACAAAGGTCTAGTCTCAGTGTATAAGTGGAGCCGATGCTGAACCTGCAGAAAACACACCTTATGAGAACCATATTTGAGGTCGATGTCAGGGGCCATATAAAAGGAGCAAAACAGGCAGTAAATATGAAGCAAATATGGTAACGCTGTGTTCCAAATAGTGCACATTACCTAAATCAAACAATGATCTTTGTAAAACTACACATCTAGAGGAAATAAGCTAATAAGGTCACTACAATATTAAGGTAAGCGGCATATGTAAGCCTTTCTTTCGCCGCATATGAGTAATGAAGATAATAATCCTTTTTTTCAAGAATTAAAAAGTCGATACCACACTCAAAGCCCTGTTTGGTTGAGCTGCATATGAGTAATGAAGAGCTATGGAAAAGTCATTGTAATGCGGAGTCATGAAGAAAATTGTTTGGTTAAACAAGTATAAAATATACCTTTTATCTTTATCTCTCTTGAAACAACTATGGAAGAGCTTTTATTCCACCAATTTCAAAAGCGTAAAGCCAAAAGCCAAAAGCGAGGTCAACCCAACTTTTAAAAATGAACTACTAAAAAAGCATGATTTGTTTGGGCTTTTGGCTTTTGGGGCCAAAAGCCCAACCAAACAGGGCCTCATTAAAGAAAGAAATGTAGAACACCTCTACCTGGCAGAGGCAGGGGTAACAAAGAATATACCCATGGTAGCAAATAACATGTCTAAAATAGCAGGTAAACAGGGGCACCAAGATAACTGACAATTTCAACACGGGTAGAACTAACCATGCACATAACACGAAGGGGATGGTTCTGAAAAAGGGTGAGGACTATGGAAAAATAGGAACATGCACATAAAACATAACACATATTTGAATGTGAAGAAACTAATAAAAGCATATCACTCTGGCATCAGTAATCTGCTACTAGCAGGGAAGAATGTTTTTTTAAGGAAAAATATCCTACCAACTGTAGTACTTTCTATTCATTTTAAATAGTGCATAAAGATAAGGCTGAAGAGCTATAAATAGCCAATCAAACAAACTAAGCTCAGTGCAAAGATAGTAGCATTCGTCGACACAAACTAACTATTCCTGTAAGAGAAGGGAAACATTGTTGAGACATAGTTGAGCGATGAACACAATCCATTGGGACAAAACACGTAGGCTCGATAGAAAAGTTTTTTTTATAAAACACTAATCATTCCACTAATAGAATAATAAGGACCTAAATGCTCTAAGCAATTACTCTTTTAAATAAAAGATAGGAAAGGCACCCTAAACATAACACATAAACTGCACATTTATCTTAATGGTGCACGGATAGTAATTGAACCAAATAAAAATGATGAGGCACCCAAAAAAATTACACATCTATCTATCTCTACCTCTCTCTATATGTTACCTCTTTGTCCCACAAATTCAACAAAAACATGTGTCACAAATATAAGAACGGTGAACTTAGATACAAATTCAATAATAGATTTCATAGGTTAAATCCACACAACATCCAACTTACTGTTATGGCGATGATAGTATAGTGGTGGATGTGACACCATTAAACTTCATGAACTCCACTGCATTCATCAACTCCACTGCAAAAGAGAGAAACCAGTACATCATCTATGAAGTTAA